GGATTTGGTCCATATTTTTTGTGGAGTATCCATGGGTGAAGGGGAACCAATTTTGTATAAACGGTGTGTCTAACCCCCCTGGAAGCAGAGAGGCGGTGCCCAATAGGGGAATTAGAGGTAAAACCTTTAAAATCCTTCTTCTACCATAGGGATAAAGGGATTTTATCCTAATTTAGTCTGGAGCATCCTTGGTCCAAGGGGACTTGATTTTGTATAAATAGTGGGTATGACCCCCCTAGGGGCATAGGGGTGGGGCTCTGTTTGAAGTTTGTTCTCGCTATATCTCAAGTACTGGATGGATCTTTCTGAAATTTCATATGTACTTACAGCACCTACCATGGAGTGCTATATCTTTACTTCATACCAATTATTTAAACACATTCAGGTGAGCGATACAGGCCCTCTGGGCCTCTTGTTTGAAGTGTCGGCTGGTTTCACCCCTACTTTGGGCTTCTTCAGGACAAAATTCTACCCTAGCCTTGTTTTAAAAAATTAAATGTATTTGTTGTTCAAAAACCAGATTCAATTTACTTCAACGTGAGTTGTGATCAATCTATAGGCAGATGAGGTTGTGAAAGATTAAATGCGATGAGAATAGACAGTATTTGGAAGTCTGACTTGTATTTAATTGAATCATCAGCATTATATCTCCAAGAGGAAACAGCAAAATATTGAGAATCTATCACAATGACATGATATCGTGCCCTAAGACTGATTATTATATACCGGGGTGTATATAAACCTTTAGAGGGAAATGGATCAGCATAGTTGGTGTTTGCTTTATAAATCAGTAGAGTTGATTTAGAACATCTAACGAAATCAAATTGTGTATATTTAGAAAATCAAATTTGCCAAAACTTGAAAAGTTACAATTTTAGAAAATTATAATTTGTTTGAAAAAGTTTATGATGCATATTGAACTTTTTTTGTATATATTTCATTTTTTGTTTCTTACTCAGAACACCAGATTTACTAACACTCAGTTAATATTACACATGACAGTTGAAACTTTCTTTATAATCTTCACAAAAATGTTTTCCTGATTAAACAATTTGTCATGTATCACAGTCTGTACCATCAAGTTCAAGGTCATGGACAGGGGTCAAAGGTCAGAAAATTGTTGAATTTTTTTTTTCTAAACAGCAGAAAGTTTCCTGAATGAAATTTAACCAACTCAATGTGATAAGATTGTAACAAATATATGACATTTGTGATCTTAGACAAAATCTTTGTATTGCTTTCAAGACGGGAGTTTCTTACAATTACAAAATTTCACACATGTTTGTACCACCCATAATTTTGTACAGTTCATGGTAAAATGTCACAGGGTGTTAAGTTCAAGGTCAAGGTCACCTACTACTCTTTGTAGATAATTTTTTTTCATCTGGTGACTGAACTTTTCTGAAGAAAGTTTAACATTTACACATGGATTCAAAAATATACAGACACATACAATAAAAATTATTATCTGAGAATGAAGTTTCAATACTTATATGTTACCATGTAATGTTGACAAGATCCAATGTTCATCTTCTCGGAGTGTTGTGTACATGAGGATATCTGTATCAGTTATGGTGCCATTTTAAGACGGACTATAGACATTTAAACAAACACATATTTTATGTATCCATAATTTTATCAAAATGTGGAATTCATTTGGGTTTGTCTGCCTGTCTGTCATGCTAGTTATAGCGCTATACATGAAACTGCCTAAAATAGTGTTCAATTTCCACTGTCATGCTAGTTTTAGCGCTATACATTAAACTGCCTAAAATAGTGTTCAATTTCCACTGTCATGCTAGTTTTTGTGCAGTACATGTTACTGCCTTAACAAGTGTTCAGTTTCCACCGAATTTGGTTTGCACATTCATACATTCAATTGTCAGACTGTTTTTAATGGACATTTTGATGCATGCATATTTACGCATAATAAATAAGGCTACTCATTTCTGTTTAGATTATATGTTTCTGTGTATTTCCTAGTAAAGGTTTAATTTTAACCAAATTTGGTATGCACTTATCACGTGTTGGCTAATGTGAGGCTTTAAGTTTGATGCATATTGTTTGTGCATAAATAAAGCTTCCCAGTTCTGATTGGTCAATTGGCTTCTATGAAATAACTCCACTAAAAATAGTTTGATTTCAACCGAATTTGATGTACATTTACCTAGGGCTGAGTTTGTCAGCCTCCATAATTCATGAATATATTGTATATACTCATGCAACTTCATAAGAAAGCTGGAACAATTCTTGGCAAGTTTTCTTCGGGTTCGCCATCCTTTTTGTACAGTATGTCTACACCAAACCAAAATAATGACCAACAGAAATAACTTGTCCTGTAAGAGGGAGATATAAATTCTAAGATTTTGCTTGTTTGTTCAGTCACTGACATCAAAAATACATGTAGCTTTAATATTTTCATCTAAAAGGACACTACCCAGGAAACTATGTAGACAGACTACCAAAATTTTGGCAACACATGACTACAAAGATTTGGTATATCTCAAGCATTGAGATATTAACTTTAAAATATTATAAACAGAATATGTATGGCTATTGCATATATTTAAATATATATTTCATTGCACAGATTTCATGCTATATTTTATATAAATCTAATTGTTGATTCTAAACGTTACAGATATGTTTTGTTTTAATTTGTTTTAATTTATCCAGAATTTATTAATAAATAGTTAAACGTATGACTGAGGTGTCTTTGGTTTGTCATTTTGAGATGCTTAAAAACAAAATTTCCTGGATTTTTTTTAGAACATTTTACAAGGATAATTCTGAGGTATACTTGAGATGAGCTTTTTTTTACATGGAACTCAGGTTTTTAAATTTGAGCTAACGAGGAAGCAAATATAGTAAAGAAAAGGAGATTTACAACCAGCTAAGACCTGATTAGGTGTACGTACTGTAGCTAATAGATTAGCTGGTGTTTGACTGGTGAGTTTTACAAACTTCCTGGTTTGAATGGGGGAAACCCCTACTACCTGGATACTGGGTAGATATACACAGTATGATAGTATTCAGTGGTAAAGATTGGCACTAATCCAGCAATGGGTACACATGTACTTCCTCATTCAAATGTGGAATAAATACATTTATTACAATAACAGACAAAACATATCTTCACTTAAGGACTTAATAAATGAAATGCCAGTAAATCGTAGCCCTGAGCTTATGGTATGTCGTATTGTCCTTCATCTGTCATCCATCAACTTTTTCTTTAAGCAACTTCTTCTAAAGAACAGAACTTGAGGACCTAGGGTCATGATATTAGGCCACTAGATACCTGTGACAGAGTACTGTAAAGCTTCCTCAAATAAATGACCTTGACCTACTCTTTAAAGACCTTCTTCTAAATTACCAAGAGGCCTAGAGTAATGATATTTGGCCAGTAAGTACCTGGCATGGAGTACTATAAAGTGTCCTCGAATAAATGACCTTGACCTACTTCCAATGCCACTGTGGTCACATGTAAAAAAAATCTTCAAGCAAATTCTTCTGAATAGCCACGAGGCTAAGGATGATGATATTTGGCCAATAAGTACCTGTGATGTAGTTTTATGAAGTTTCCTCAAAAGGATGACCTTGACCTTTGTTGAAGGTCACAGGGGTCAAATATGTTATAACATTTTAACAATTTCTGCTGAATAACTCTAAAGACACATATGGTGATGATATTTGGCCAGTAGCATGCTGTGATGTGTTGCTATAAACTTTCCTCAAATGAATGACCTTGACCTACTATCAAAGTCACAGGCATCACATATGTAAAAACCTTTTAGCAACTCCTTACTTAAAAGGAAGAGTGCCATTGAAGAAAATGACCTAAACTTGCTTGACAAAATTTTGTACATTGCATGAAATATCCTTGGATCAAAAGGACTCAACGTTGTATAAACTAAGGGTTTGGGCTCTCAAAAGTGCAGTCAGGATGGGGCTCAATAGAGGTTACCTGAGACAAATCTTCCCATGATTGTTTAAATATCCAGTGGAGCAATACAGACCCTCTGGTCCTCTTGCTTGGGGTTATTTGAATCCCTTTTTATAAGTCAAAGTTCAGTTTTGTTCTGAATTTTGCAAATCGAAATAATTGTGATGTTTCTTTCAGTGCTGGCATCAATGTTGTCACTACACTCAAGTTACGATTGATGTCGAGATAATTTTGGGATAAACATCACGTTCAAACATGTGTCTTGGAGATGACATCAATATGGTTAGCTCCATCTACTAACAACCTAGTAACATTTTATATTACTGTCCTTGTTATAGCGAAACACAATTCTTTATATCCCCAACATAAACATACTTGCCAAACCTCACTATTTGCAAGGGTAACTCCCAATTTTGGACCCTTAAATTTAGTGTTTTCAACCAGTGAATTTGCTTAACTGTTCCTATATTCAAAAATCTAATTATTTTATCTGAAAGAACAACTAAAAATATGTAATTTTAAAGGGTCATTTTTGACTCTAGGGGGTGTATACACACATTTATTTATGTTTTAATTTTGAGCATGCAGAATTTCCCCCATGGAAATTTCAAAAAGTTGGCAAGTACTCATAAATTGTGTTTTACGATGATGCAGCATGATTACTATGATGAAACATTTCTAAACTAAATTCAAACAAGAACATTTTCCCTACCACAAAGGCTGGAAACATTTTATACCAAAATAGAACAATAACACAACAATAGAAATTATCTTCAGAGTGAGTACACATGTGACATGTCACTGTGACCTATAATTTCTACTTTGTGACCTTGGCTGAACTTTATTAAGTTCCATTTTGGTTAGACATTATGTTTATAGATCAATTTCCATCAATGTGTGGACGTAGGTATGTTTTATAAACATTTTCTAGTTGAATTTAGCTCTATATATTAACATGGCTTATATACATATCTTGGATTAATGCATTTTGGTCTATGGACATTAATTACATGAGGTCATATTTTCTGATATATTTTGTCTGAATGTTGACATTTAGCCACAACAACCACTCCAGGTAGGTTACCTTTTCCTCTTTGGTCTAATTAAACCTTCGTGCTCATTAAAATATTTACATCAAAGGTATGACTTTGTACTTGGAACACAGACCAGCCACACGTGAACAATCTTTCTGTTATTTTGTTAATTTTTAAAATTTTCAAAGACAATGAAAATTCATTCAAACATCTTGAAAAACATTTAAACTTAAAGCCGAAAGTTATAAGTATAATTCGACAATCTGAAAAATTGCTGTGCTGTGTTCTAGAACTAGTCAATTCCTCAGAATGAAACCTATCCCTTTGTTACAAAAGATGTGTTACGTTCACTTTACATATCCAGTTTGCTCTCATGTTACATGTTACATGTTCCTAGCTATGCTTTGCATCTTTAAAGCTTTAAGTTCTCAAGTAAAAAATTATAGGAAAAATGTCCAAACGTTGGCATAATGGAAAATGAAGCAAATGACATCAATTACTGATTTAAGTTGGGGGGTTTTGAGAATTATTAGATATGGTTACTGATATTGATTACATAGAACATGAAAATAGGTAAGTTAACCCTGAAATTCTCATATCTATTTCATTAACTGAATAAAAGAAAATATTTGATAATAATGAACTGTTCAAGAAAATTTCATAATGCTATATTTATTTTAAAAATGTAAAAAAAAACATGGCTTTTGCTTTCATGAGAGAACTATTGCTTTTCCCTCCAATGACAGTTTGTATACATTTGTGTTTGATGAAACAGAAGTGTATTATTGACTTATATAGACCTATAACCAATTTGTTATAATATCCAGTTATGCTTGTATAAGTAATACTGTTATCATGTAATCAAGAATTTTCCATTGTTTAAATTACTTTATCTACATACTAATTACATTCTCTCCATATACGAAATGTAATGTAATCTTTAAGATTATAAGACTCTTTCATGCTCTGGAGTGTAGGATAGGGAAATTCCACCCGAGGAGTTTTCTATTCTACACCCTTGGGCATGAAAGAGTATTTTTCTGTCATTCCAACCACCAGAATACACTCAGAAACCATGAAAATCTGTTTGGACTGGCCACCATTTTGAAAATATCAATATTCCCCCAGAGCTTTTTAGATGAATATGAATCGGCCAGCAGGATTTGGCATATCCCATATTGGCAAACAGATTTTGCGCAGGAATATAAACCACATCTTTCTAACGTGTACTGTAAATATATATCGTAAAAGGTTTATAACTTCATCACGTCGCCTTTTCCGCATTGCGGCATCAGAGAGTTCCAAATTTGTGACGTCACGTCACGTGAAATCGGGTGTAAGATTGAAATTTCCTACACCCCTTTCTTACCCTGGACAGCTCTATCTTACACACAGGGAAATGAGAGAAATTTATATATATATCATAGGAAATGAGCAAAATTTTAGTTTAGTGGTGAAAAGGAAGATCATTACTTAATTTTAGTAACAATTGTTAGAACAATTTCAGCCTCGATATAATGTCCCTCATTTCATTTGTGACCTCACCTACCATCAACATATTTCAATGTTCCTTTTTTCATTTTCTAAAGAAAACCTTTCTACGTTTCTCTCAATTTATCATCAAAACCTTCTATAACGCAAATTTATTTGGACAAATGGTGGTATTATAACAATACTGTATTAGTTATCTAAGAATTTCAGTCTACATTTCCCTCAATTTATCGTCAAACCACTTAACAATGTCAAAATAATCTCTGGACAGGAAGGGGCAGTATAACGAGGTTTTACTCTGTATCTCAAAATAAAGATTATGGTATTGTGACGGTCAGTTCTTGTAAGGTCTGGAGAATAATAGATAAGCTCAAGTCCAGTTCATTGTTTCTAACTCGTTATATCTATTTCCATGTTTCTTTAGTTAAATCTCAGTCTCCAGTCTCCTCTCTCTGAATGTCATCTCTCTGAATGCCATCTTTATGAATGTCATCTCTCTGACAACGTCAAGGACACTGTGTCAAAGGTCAATGTCAAATTTTGTATCTTTTCACTGATGAACATTTTGTTTATGTTATTATTTAGCAAAGTTGTTCAGAACATAACACGGATTTCTGACCAAAGGTCCATGTTACGGGGTCCAAAGGTTCAAGGTCAAGGTCAAGTTTTGTATTTTTCACTGATGAACATTTTGTTATGATTTTATGAAGCAAAGTTGGTCGGAATTAAAGAATAAGTCAACTGACCAAAGATCAGGGTCACTGGGTTAAAGGTCAAGGTAATTTGGGTCCAAAGGTCAAAGACAAAGTGGATCTCGGACTTTGACCGTCTCTTGATGGGGAGGTATTTGAGGTGAAATAAAACAAATCAAAGCTAACAAATGAGTATTGCACCGGTATTTACATTTCTGTTAGCCAAGCAAATATGGAGGTGGAAGGAAACAAGACTTGCATCATAGTACATGTAAAATGTATATTTTACTTCCTTGTGATTCTTTTTGAAGTCCAAATGTCAAACTTCAAGCTCGGCTATATGGTCAGATTGCTTTTTGATAATAGACGGGGCCCTTTACTGACCTGTCAGTGTTCTAGTTACTGAAAAAGAAATCATGAAACTTCATACAAGTGTTTGGTACGGCAAGGCATTGGACAAGTTTGTGTTCCCGGTTTCTATTTCCAAGGTCAAGGTCGCTGTCACTATTTTTAGAAAAATAATGTCATTCTTCTACCGACTTCATTCCTCAAGAGAATTTCATGAAACTTGATACAAGTGTTTGGTATGGCAATATTTTAAACAATTTGCGATTCAGGTTACTGCGTTAAAGGTCAAGGTCACTTTTGCTATTTTTAGAAAAACTTGGACATTGCTTTATCAACTTAATTCCTCAATGCAATTTCATGAACCTTCATACAAGTGTTTGATATTGCAATGCCTTGAACAAGGTGGCGTTTCAGGTTACCGCAATAAAGGTCAAGGTCACTTATCTTCAGAGTTAGCACACATGTGACATGTGTGCTAACTCCTATATTTTCCACTTTCTGTCTTTGGCTAGACTTTAGTTAGTTCCATTTTGGTTAGACATTATGTTTATAGATTAATTTTCATCAAAGTGTGGACGTAGGTATGTTTTGTAAACATTTTCTAGTTGAATTTAGCTCTTTATTATCATACCTAATATATACATATCCTGGATTAATGCCTTTTGGTCTATGGACATTAATTACATGAGGTCATATTTTCTTATTTATTTTGTCTGATTGTTGACATTTAGCCACAACAACCACTACCACTCCAGGTAGGTTACCTTTTCCTCGTTGGTCTAATTACACCATCGTGTTCATTAAAATATTTACATCAAAGGTATGACTTTGTACTCGGAACACAGACCAGCCACACGTGAACAATTTTTCTGTTATTTTGATAATTTTTTAAACTTTCAAAGACAATGAAAATTCGTTCAAACATCTTGAAAAACATCTGAACTTAATGCCAAAAGTAATAAGTATAATTCAACCGTCTGAAAAATTGCTCTTCTGTGTTCTAGGACTTGGTCAATTCCTCAAAATAAAACCTATCCCTTTGTTATAAAAGATGTGTTACGTTCACTTTACATATCCAGTTTGCTCTCATGTTACCAAAATATCTCCTTGTTTGTTGCTATGCTCTGTATCATCTTTAAAGCTTGAAGTTCTCAAATAAAAAATTATATGAAAAATGTCGACACTAACACTAGTCCGTTAGTCCTGGACTAGTAGATTTCAGCAAGGACTAGTGAAGCACCTCACTTACTGGTCCTTTGGACTTGTGAAAAACAGGATTTTGAAAATAAGAACATTCCTTTTTTGAATTTAGAAAACTGCTTTAAGTAAGATATATTGCATGATAATTGTCCAAATATTCCTAAAAGTTCACCACATTTTTATGGCAGTCGTTATCTTAAGTCCCCTACAGTCCATTACTTTTGATGTTTCGTGCTGTAGATCGCGATGTTTCCTTATCAGGAAATATTGGACTAATTACATTGACAAAGGACTAGTAAATAATCTATTCAACTAGTTCTGTGGAATACCAAGCAAAAACAGTTAGTGTCTAACCCTGAAAATGTAAAAAATAACATGGCTTTTGCTTTCATGTGATAGCTATTGCTTTCCCCTCCAACGACAGTTTGTATAAATCTGTGTTTGATGAAACAGAAGTGTATTATTGACTTACATAGGCCTATAACCAGATTGTTATAATATCCAATTATTTCTCATAAGATATATGTTTTACCTGTATAAGTAATACCAGTATCATGTAATCAATAATTTTCCATTGTTTAAATTACTTTATCTATTAAACACATTTTACTTATTAAGTTCTCTTCATCTACGAAATGTAATGTAATCTTGATATATATATATATATAAATCAAAGGAAAGGAGCAAAATTTCTATTTAGTGGTGAAAAGGAATATCATTACTTAATCTTTTCAGTATCAATTTCAGCCTTGATACATTGCCCCTCATTTTATTTGTGACCTCACCTACCATCAACATATTCCAAGGTTCCGTATAACGATATTGTATTAGTTATATAAGAATTTCAGTCTACGTTTCCCTCAATTTATCGCTAAATCACTTAAATATGTCAAAATAATCTCTGGACAGGTAGTGGCGGTATAACAAGGTTTTCCTGTATCTCAAAATAAAGATTAAGCTATTGTGAAAACCCGTTCTTGCAAGGTCTGGGGAATAATAAATAAGCTCAAGTCCAGTTTATTGTTTCTAACTCGTTATATCTCAGTCTCCAGTCTCATCTCTCTGAATGCCATCTCTCTGAATGTCATCTCTCTGAATGCCATTACAAAATATCACTTCTCTCTCTCTCAATCCTACCATAACTACCATTTCTATTGGTCAACTATTTATTAAGGGTGGGACTTACCCACATGACATGGACAGCCATCAGGTGGTCAATGAAGGTTCCAATGCTTCAGTCTGTACTGTCAGTTATATCTAATGATATAAACCTCCCTTGCTCTTTTCACTGCTCTAAATTTTGCTCCTGTCCTTTCATCATCAACACCACCATTCCTACATTCTCTCACAATAACACCTTGTCCTCAACAGTCTGTCTTTCATTCTGTCACTTTCATGTGATATAAATTCAACTGCTTTCTCTTACATCCATTTTATCCATCAATTTATCCCACTTTTCATATTTTTAATGATATTACAGATTGTCCGGCAATCTTTCTATCTCATACTGTCATATTATCTAGACATCAAAGTGTGTTAATGTATGTGTAAGTCTGAAAGTGAAATCAATCTCATGAAACCTTTAAGCTTGGATCAACAGCAAGGTAAGGTCTAATTGGTTGATTGCTGAAAGGTTTGGTCAATGTCAACACATTGTGATGACGTCATAAGATGGTGGCCTCTTAAAAGTTTACTCAATCTAGTAACTAATATTGTTTCATATCAGTTCAGATTTTATTTTCAGCAGTTTAATCTATATACAGTAGATTTCGCTTAATATCACTTCCCATTTGTCAGCGAAAAACATGATATTAACCGAAACATGACATAAACAGAATACATATTTTCTGACGTTTTTCAGCCCTCAAAACCGGAAGTGAACTTAGTCAAATGCCTAAGTGATGTGGCTCTACGAAGGAGATTGTAAAATAAAGATATTTTGTAACTAACCTTATTCTTTACTATAGTTGAAATATAGTATAAGTAAATAAGTATAGAAATAAAGATATTCTTTGTATTTCATTTCAGTATGCAGTTACATTTCATATAGTTAGTAGCAAAATGACGATCAGTATGATCGTAATTATGATTGTTTACTGCAGTAGTGATGTAGGCATACAAATTAGTGTTTGGCTGGTATTCTGCATCAAATTCAATTGTAAACATGAGACTTGGTAAATATTTACCTTTATCTTGATATATATACTGTTCTTTCGCTAGTAACATCTGTTTATAGTTTTATTTCTTTAAATATTTGCTGCAAGTGTGACATCGTTTTCTGCGAGTTTGTCTATCGCACGGTGACTTTTTACATTTGAAACGTAGCATTTCATTGGATGACCTCAATATGCAAATAAGAACACCAGGCAATGATAAAGTCTCGATGCATATTTTATTCACTCATTCTCAGTTACAATGTGTACATTGCTACTGACCAATCAGATGCCGTGTTATGAAATCGGGTTAAACCAGCCGTAAACGAGGGAAGTGAAAAATGTAGGCTTGTTACGATAGTTTGAACAATAAATGAAAACACAAAAGGCAATCTATTTATCACATCGACATTTGGAAAGTGTAATTAAACATAGGTCATAATTTTGCAATGAATACATTCTCGCAGATCACGATTTTACACCAGCAGCATACGGTAGAATTACGACAACACCATGTCGGCGTCGTACGTGGGTTATTTGAGATTCAAAACAAAGACAATTTTATCGTATTGTACGTGAACCTTGGTCAAACTTAAATAATTTAAGAAACTTATTGTTTGAAAGACACTCTTTATTTTAATCTCATTCAACATTTGTCATATTTTACGGAAGACCGTCCACTTGTATGCCTAATTCACGACAACGTAAATTCATATCTGGATACGAGCTGTAATGGAAGATAGTACACCTGTTAGTTGACTTGGCATTACAAAAGTTTACAGATGTAAGACTGTCCTGGCTTCAATTACCCAACCACAGGTGAAAATCCTGTTAACAAGTATGTAAGGTCAACCTATTGTTTAACAGTCAGCCAGGTGTAACCTATTGTTTGACAGTCAGCCAGGTGTCAAAAAATACCCCGTTAGGGCGCGGCGTTGTTTACATAACGCGTCCAGGTGTGACGGAAGGTCCCCGGGGGCATTTATCAAGAGTCATTACCGCCATTTACCTGTATTTTTTTTGTGACAGTGGCCAAAATAAAGTGATATTAAGAGAAGTCGACATAAGATCAGGTGATAATAAAAGAATTGAATTGCATAGATTATATAGCAGGAAAAACGGTGCATCAGAAATACATGATAATAACCGAAAAGTGATATTAAGCGACATGATATTAAGTGAAATGTACTGTATATGAAATAGAAAAATGTGTTAAAAGGTTCTTTTCTGGACTGAACCAAAACGTGATTTAAAGTGCTATATGTGGATGGGGAAATACTGGATGTATTTGTTGGAAAAGACAGATGGGGGCCTTCATGCAAAAAATGGTCAAATAACCTCATTGGACCTGCTGACTATGCAGAACTTAAGTGAAGCAAGACATTTTGTTGTATCATAAAATAAAACATTAACAAATCATCATTGATTTGTAATATAGATGAATTTGTAAATAACTTTATGTAAAGGTTGATCTTTACAAACCTCGGTGATAGTTTGGCAGCTATATTTGGAATTGTAGTCTAATGGCTATGACCTCATTTTGGTTTTTGAAGAAAATGTTAGTATTTTAACTGTAACCTTGGTGATACTTCGGTCAAAATCTTGTAACCTTTGTAAGATTTTGGCAGCAGTATTTTGGTTGTAACTTTGATTTTAGGTGTGATCTTGTTGGTGTTTAAGTCGTTGCCTTGGCAGAAGTTTGGTTGTCATGAACTACATGTACATACATAATCTAAATGGAGTGATGGTGGATAGATGATGACAGTTATCACTACTGGAAGCCAAAGTACTCGCTCCGTAATATTGTATGATTATAGTCATGATAGGACTTTGTCGGCCTCATTGTAAGGCATGTACAACTAGTAAACATATAAGGCATGATGTCAAGGTTCTTTGAAAGTCTTTTAATCATCCACGATGTCACTTCAATCTATAAATAAGGGGGGGGGGAACAGCAGAATTAATTAAAAGATAGACCCTGCCATTACATTGAAATACAAATTTCTTTTTGTTTCTAAATTATTTATATGATTTTCTATGAAATGAACAGGTCCAGAAACTTCCACTTCAATCACAAGTAGGTCCACACAAGTCACATGACTTAATTTACATATATATAGTTGTAGATATTACAAGTAATGTTTATTACCTTTGATATTATTTTTCCATTGGAACATATTTTACTGCTTGTGTTTAAATTATATAAATATAAGATTTTCCATTTCTGAATTACGTGTGTGCTTTTCCATAGAAAGAACAGGTCCAAAAACTTTCCACTTCAATCCCAAGTGGATCAGCACATGTCACATGACTTAATTTACGCATACATAGATATTACAAGTAAAGTTTATTACTTTCAATATATTTTTCATTAGAGTACTCTTTACTTTTTGTTTCTAAATTATATATATATATATGATTTTCCATGTCTCAATTATTTAGTTGATTTTTCATAAAATGAACAGGTCCAGCAACTTCCACTTCAATCCCAAGTAGGTCAACACATGTCACATGACCTCATTTACATATACATATGATTATATAGATTTTACAAGTATTATTTTCTACCTTTTGTTTCCATTCATGTTTTATAATATACATAAATATATAAATATTTATTTCAAGTGTGTTTTTCTACTTTTTTAGTTTTATATCTATGATTTCAGATTTTAGTTCACTATTGTCAAATGGTGGGCTGCTGTTCAATTGGCTAGTTTCATCTGTGGTCCATCCATCCTCACTTCATACTTCATTTTATCGTTATTTCTCAGGAAGTAAAAAATCTTAAAATTTTATGGCTATTTTAAAAAAAATAAAAGATCTTTCTCAAATTTCCTATGTAGATTCCATTTGGTTTGACACCATAGCTGTGCATGTTACATTGTGAGATTGATTGGAAAAACATAAATGCTGCATTTCAGCCATATTTGATTTAGGGAGTTAAGTTTGTTATCACCATTTCTCAATAAGTACTTAACAGATCTTTCTCAAATCTCATATATAGATTCCTCTTTGAATATTTCATTTGAAGACTGATCGAAAGAAGGCCACTAGACAGCAATCTTGAGTTCTTACGGATGAAGTTTGTTATCACTATTTCTCCAAAAAAAAAAAAATCTGAAAGAAATCTTTCTTACTTTTAACAATCTGGTTTCCTTTGTCCTTAGCTATGCATGTACACTTTGGGAACCTTTCATAAAAATTGATGGCTCAACCAGGCGTCCATCTTAGATTTTGACAATTGAAGTTTGTTATTGCTATTTCAGTATATACCTTTTTCGAATTTGTCCTGTTCCCTTGTCTTTCATATGTCATGTTGAACTTAAGCCCGCTTGAGCAGAAGGAAAACATAGCGGCCAAAAATCAGAAATCTCTCTTGGTGTATTTTTCTCCCGCTTCTGTTTTATTATATAGGTTATACGAACCTAACTTTGAAAGGACACTGTCAAAATCAAGTGCCACAAGATTTATTATTTGAAACTGACATGACAGTCAATCCAACAAGTACTACAGAAAAAAGAGAAAGATCAAACTTACATAGAACTAATGAAGATCTTACGATGATGGGTACCAAGATCTCTTCAGGATCTCTTATTATGTTTCAGCATTTATTAGCAAGAGTGTTTGTTGATGTTTGCTACCTATGCAATGATGTTAAATTTGCTTTCAATTTGTAGATATTAATTTCAGCTTCATAGTATAGATATTGTTTCTGAATCAATTCTTATTACCCAAGATGATGTACTTGTAGACAAAACTAATCTAAAATGTAAAAATTCAATTAGTACGTAATATTTTAAAGATGAAATTCCAGTTATTTTTAGCTCACCTGGCCCTTATCCTTTGATCAATTTACACATTTAAATTGATGCTGAAGTCGATTATCTAATGCTTCATATCTTATTTGCTACAAATTAAAACAAGTTAATGCAATCATATAAAATAATGCTTTTAAACTACTGAAAAAATCTTGCAAACGGCCAAGATTGCTACTTCATCTTCAATATGCTACCATGTTTATACAGTAAATTAATATACTGCTTTAAAGCTTGACCTAACCATATTGCAATATGCCCAGGATTTCTTCTAATCCTTGAAATGTCATCAAATTTTTAGCTCACCTGGCCCGAAGGGCCAAGCATCGAAAAATATCATCTGCCGAATATTTTGAATTTTAGATTGAATGGAATAGAATCTTAACAATTATTGATGATGTACCAGTAGAAATAAAATTTCACCAAAACAATTATCGGCTACTTTTGAATGCTGTCTTGTAAGTTAAACATGTAAACTTTTTTTTAATACTTAAAATTAAGTCAAAACATTCCACGTTTGCTGCAGATGATCTATTTGTGAGTTAATACTTGCAAAATTAAATAAGGTATAGCATATCAGGAACCCCCACCCCTCTTTTATCTTTTTCATGACATGTGTCACATTTGAGCAGTTTTGTCAAGGATTTTTTTTTATATTTTATTTAATTTTTGAGTAACTGGAAGTTATTTAGTCTATCACCTCTGCCTGTTTCATCTTCAAATCATTTTAATTTTAGTGACATGAAATTCTGTAGTTATGACCTGTTTCATGTGTTATTAGAACATTGTTTTGACTCACAAATGGTTGTCGTTATACACCACTACACCATCTGGCTGAATCCTCTCCAAAACCTCTTTCTGTTTTAGACCCTACAAGTTTTGTCGTTTTCAGTTTTTAGATTTCTCTTTCATTTTGTTTTCTAACTTAGCACCCGAAACAACATCTGTGGCAACAACAGTAACGACACTGACAACAACAAACAACTCTGGTGTTGGGCCGACTTCTACTAACACTTTCACGGCTTCTACTAACAAAACCAGCCTTTCTTCTACGCAAGCAGCTCCTGTCTCCACCACAGCAGTAAAACCTACCAGTTCCCCGGACTGGCAGACCCCAGTAATAGCGGGTAGTGTGGCAGCGGTGGTAGTCGTGATAGTAGTGGTGGTTACTGTGGTCCTCTGTAAGAGAAAGTCTAAACCTGCTAATGATTTAATATCTCATTCAGCAGAACTGAGAGGTAGTGATAGGCCTGATGCTCACGCCAAAGAAGCACATGTAAATTCAACATTTGTTAACTCGGATTACAGAGAAATTGATGAAAAACACTTCCATGAAGGTTTTCAAGATCATATAAAAAGGTCGAAAGAAATTTCTTACCAATCGAGTCAGTCAGAATCCGTGAATAAGGGTTCCTTTGTCCCACAAAATCCTATCTCTAGTGACCCTGATGCTGATCAGACAAGAGAAACATTTCCCTCTAAATCTCGCGTGACGATTCCAAGGCCAGAAGTTAATTTGTCACGTAATTCTACCGAGGATCAGTTCTGGGAAGAAAGATTGTAGCCACGTTTTCAAAATGGTAAATCTGGAATCTATTTCATTGAAACAAATTGGAAAATAATAATATTGCATTTTAAACAGAATTCTAAATAATATAATTAAAGATTGATCATCATATTTCTTTTCAAAACTTGCTTGCTTATTTGATGTATAAGCACTTTGCATGTATACATTATATATTAGCTGTAATTATCTCAGAAACAGAAAAGCTTCCTAATAATTAATTTTTTGATCCATTTCATATCACTTTTAGTAACTAGAGTTTTTCCTCCTTCTGTAGGTCCGACCACTACCACTCCGACTACTACCACCACCACTCCGACCACTACCACTCCGACTACTACCACCACCACTCCGACCACAACCACTCCGACTACTGCCACTACCACTCCGACCACTACCACTTCGACCACTACCACTCCGACTACTACCACTACCACTCCGACCACTACCACTCCGACTACTTCCACTCCGACTACTACCACTACTACTCCGACCACTACCACTACACCTACTACCACTCCGACCTCTACCACTTCGACCACTATCACTCCGCCTAATGCCACTTCAAGGTTTACAGATGAAGAACTAGGGGCAATCATTGGAGGGACCATTGGAGGGATCTGTCTGCTGTTTATTGTAGGGCTTGGAGTTTTCTACTATTACCGGGTACAAAACAAAGAATCTGTTAAAAGGGATCACAAGAGAGGAGACAGAAATAAGCCATCAAGGGGAGGCAACCAACAGGGACCTGTGAAGAAGGAGAAGGTAGTTGTGTACCACAAAGGTCAGGCCTATTTGGTAGATCCAAGGTATCAAAAAGACTACAAAATGAGTTCCCACGGTTACAACAACAACGGATACCATCATGAGCCTCACACCAGAGAGACGAGGCATCACAATAATACGGGCAGGACAAGGTCAAATGGGCACTTCATCAGCCCTCAGAGTAATACAGGTCATAGGTCAGATAGACACTATGGCAGCCCTCAGAGTTACCCAGGTCATAGGTCAGACAGACAGTATGTCAGCCCTCAGAGCTACAGAGGTCATAGGTCAGACCCACGATACTATCAACCTAATGACATTTCTCAGTATTACCCGAGTCAACTGTATAACGGTGGAAATGGTTATCCTCAGTATGAGAGGTACCCTGGACCAGGGAGAGGAGACGATAGACATATGTACTATTAGACGTATGTAACAGGGATTCAGTGCATCTGGAGTCAGACTGAACTTTGACCTCCTGATATGCATATTTTATGAAGATTGAGCCTGGATGAAACATAACTGACTGAAAAGTGCTTGGCACTGAAATATATGCTTTTTCCAGGGATGCATACTTTTACACATCAATTCAACTTAGCGCCCCTGTAAACCAGAAAAAGTATTGAAACACTGAAGATTAAAAACAGTGACATATGGGTCAGAAATTGTGTTTAGACATGCAAAGATTTAACTGAAATGTCCGTACAACAAAACTGGAGTACTTTCCTGGAATTTGGTGTTTGGATTCTGATCCAGGAGTTCATTTTATTATCTCGTTAACCTGGATATTTCTTGCTCAGTAGAAGTACAACTAACATTCTATCACCTTGCATCAAACTTGCAGACTGCCTTTATACAGAGAAACAAAAGTGGGTGTATTTCTTTGTGATGATGATGTTTGTCAATACTCAATGGTGGATTTTTGTTTGGAATCATACTCATATATTTGTGATCTCCTATTATTACAAAATGATGGATTCTATGCACTCTTGTACTCTTCAAGAGAATTTGATCTTGATTCTTCCTGTTGAAAATCATATTCTTTCCAGATTGTTTAGCTGAAAAAACAAGTTTTCTTGCCAAGGGTGACATAGATTTTGCACCTCCTCGTATCTGTCACCAGACCCTAGTTTAGGTGATGCTATCAAGCATTCGCGCTGTCTTCTCAAATGTATGTTGCTTTATTGGAGACCTCAAGTTTTGGAACTCATGTATTTTACTCCCTTAACCCAATCTCCCCAAAGTCACATTTGAACCTTACCAAATCAAAGACTGGGCAAGTCCATTTAAAAAATGTAGGAATGAATGAGTTAAGCAGGCAATTTAAGTGATGAATTGTCATCTGGAAAATAAATGGCAATCGGTTACTGTTTGATATAACTTCTCTATATCCCTATCAAAGGATCCGTTTGCTCTTTCATTTAAAATTAATAAATCATTTATTGGCCCTAATGACCTCTTCTGTGCTTATGGGCCTTTAAGAATGTAATAACAATAATTCTCTCTCGCTAAAATCTCATGGCTTTTGAGTATTATAACTAATATAATCTTAATTTGTTGTTAAGAAGCGAGTTTTGCATTTTTATCATCTTAACAATCATTTCTGTGCCATGGCTTTGTCAACCCTCACCACAAAACTTCATAATTACTTACAGCAAATCCACCTATAACAATGCATTGGTAGGGATGCTGATCTCAAAGTAGAAATATGGGGAGACTGCTTCTTAATTCATCACCAAGATGGGTTTTTTAGGTTTCTTTCTCTCTTTGTTTCGATTTTTATACCTTTGTTTTCAAGTTTAGTTCATACATAAGCAATTTTATATTTAGAGTATAAACTCTACGACAGTTTTCGAAAAATTCCACCAACCAGACCTATTTTTTCATTGTAACTATAGAAAAGTTTTCGCTGGCCATGACACACATGTAAAATTTACTAGCCCCAAGTTTGAAATTAGTTCTAGTTTCAAACCAACAAACCTTGATAGATAAAGAAAAAAATCCTGGTGACTTTTCGAGAAGTACAGTGTAATGCTGGTGAAGGACGTACGTCAGAAATCTAGGTCTCCAATAAAACACAGTTGTACAGTCACGATAATAGCTCTCAGTGATAAAATAATGTACCATGACTTTAATCTCCTTGTCATGTTACTAGGTTCCATACTATCTCGGAATCCAAACAACTTATCTTTTTTTATGATTTGACATGGTAATACACAGTGGTATGTATATATTTCGTAGGAGTTTTAAATGTGTCAGAGGTCAAGGTCAAGGTCATTGTTGCTAAAAATAGACCATGGGGTAGTAGGGTCAGGCACATGACAATCTTTCTAATAAAACTATTTTACATTGATGAAATTTTTTAATGCTCTTTGTTCTTTCAACATCATCATGTTTTACTTTAATCATTTATAAAGAATGTCAATGTTATAAAATAAGATTCAGCTTTATGCTTTATCTTTCAACATAACAAAATTAAATCTTCAATCAAACACTCTTAATTCACAATCAAATAAGAATGCAAATATGACTTAAATAAACTGTATTGAAAATTATTCAGTTTGTAATGATATTTTAAACCTTTTTCATTTTGAACCAAGATAAAACATACACTCTATCAAACTATTTCTTCCATTTTCTAAAAATAAAATACTTTTGCAGTTTCATCGAATTTGTGGCAAGTTTTTGAATAAAAAATATTGTAATCTAAATTTGGATATATATTCAGGGTTAATATATAGAATGCAATCTTGTCAAACAGGTTTTGTGTTAGACACAAAAGTTTAGATTAAACTATAGCACAATGGTACATAGGTGTGTCAGTATTTTGTGAATATAAATATCTACTTATTTTTAATTGGATACATTTTTTTAAAAATAATATTTACTTTGGACTCCAAATCTTATTGTGAATTTATTAAAAAAAATATTTCAAATATAACTTCATATAAAGGGATAAAGATTATAATGTAATTCTACTTAGATGCATCATCAATAACAGGCAGTAATTTGAATCATTTCACCTTAGCTCATGTTTATAACCAATCATGTGGATTATCACTTGTCCTAATATGAAGAAGGATAAAATCATAATTATGTAGGAGACTCAGCTTAAGCTATTTACCAGTAGAACGCTTTTTGTTATGTAATGCTTGTAAATAACTCAAAACATAGATAGTCCCTGAGACTTTTAGACATGCTGTATATAAATAATTCAAATGTTGTATGATTGAACATCTAAAAATGTGTAATCATTTTAAAGAGATATTATAATCAGCTGTGCTAATCAAAATGTAGATGCCTTACTTTGATGTTGAGGTTATATTTAGAGTTAGTGTGTCTGGTTGTAAGTGGACCTAGTGTGTGTGGTTGTAAGTAGAGTCAGTGTGTGTGGTTGTAAGTGGACCTAGTGTGTCTGGTTGTAAGTGGACCGAGTGTGTCTGGTTGTAAGTAGAGTCAGTGTGTGTGGTTGTAAGTGGACCTAGTGTGT